CTGCGAATGCGATGGATCTAGGTTGTGCTCTCCTTATGATAATCTAATGCCTGATGATCTGAGGTGGAATAGTTTCATCCCTCTCCCCCTGTGGTGGGAAGAATTGTCTTCCAGGAAACCGAAAAGTTTGGGGACGCTGGTCTAAGGCACCACCTCCCCCACCCGGTGGCAGCTAGTAGAATTGCAGGCATAGTGCCTGATTGAAGGTGTTCAGCCCAGGCGATCCCACCAGGGCTACCCCAGACCCTGGGCAGCTTGGTGGCTTCCCTTCCTTTCCCTCTCTGCTGTGAGGCCAAGATTGCTTCAGTGCTGTTCTTCAGAAAGCTCTTCCTCATCAGAATCACAAGTCGGAACTGTTTCCTGCATTTCTTTCTCCCTCTTCATTCTTATCCCTCACACCTAGGAGATACTCAGTAAATGTTTATGATTATTGATGATGAATTGGAGATGGAGAAAGGAGGAAGCATGGAATGGTGGGAAGAGTCCGAGGCTGGGACTTAGGATACGTGGGTTTTTTGTTTTCATCTAGCTGATTTGCTTCCCCTGTTGGATCCTCAGCTTTCCCATTCATAAAGGGGTTAGAAAAAGTCACGAAGATGCTAGCAACATGGCTATGATTTAGGCTTAGGGGTACAGTCTTTGAGGCAGCGTGGTGAAGTTGTTGGGTCCAGTTTGCCACCATCCTTTCTATTCCCTTCTGCCCTGCACTGGCTCACCTTATGCAGATTGGCCACCTGGCACTGTTAGCCTTTTGGTTTTTGACCTTTCTCAATTTAGACAGTGTCTTAGATTTGTTGTAAGAGTCTCTTGACCTGTATTCAGATTGGAAATACAAATGATGTCTGTTGATCATCACCATTAGGGGATACTAACCAAGCACCTGTGTTCAGTGTGTGGGGAGAAGCACAGTATAGATCTATTCCCTGCCCCCAAGCTGCCCACAGGCCAATGGAGGAGACAAGTGTATGTTTGTTTGTTTGTTTATTTATTTATTTTTGAGACGGAGCTTTGCTCTTGTCGCCCATGCTGGAGTGCAATGGCACGATCTTGGCTCACTGCAACCTCCGCCTCCTGGGTTCAAGCGATTCTCCTGTCTCAGCCTCCCGAGTACCCGGGATTATAGGCATGTGCCACCATGCCTGGCTAATTTTTTTTTTTTGAGCCTGAGGTTCGCTCTTGTTGCCCATGCTGGAGTGCAATGACACAATCTCACTCACTGCAACCTCCGCCTCCTGGGTTCAAGTGATTCTCCTGCCTCAGCCTCCCGAGGCACCTGCCACCACGCCTGGCTACTTTTTGTATTTTTACTAGAGATGGGGTTTTACCACGTTGGCCAGCTGGTCTTGAACTCCTGACCTTAGGTGATCTGCCCACCTCGGCCTTCCAAAGTGCTGGGATTACGGGTGTGAGCCACCGCACCTGGCCATTTTTTTTTTTTTTTGGTATTTTCAGTAGAGATGGAGTTTTACCATGTTGATCAGGCTGGTTTCCAACTCCTGACCTCAAGTGATCCACCTGCCTCGGCCTCCCAAAGTGCTGGGATTATAGGCATGAGTCACTGCGCCTGGCTGACAAGTGTATATTTAAAAGCTCATAAATAATCCAGGTGACTTGTGCTAAGTCGTTAAGTGCTACTGAAACTCAGAGGGAGCAGAGAACACTGAAGCAATCAGAGGAGATTTCCTGGAGGTGGGAGAGAGAGAAATTCCTCAAAGATGAGTTCCCTAAGTGTTTTGTTCAGAGTCACATGAGTATTAAACTGGGGTTAGATGCTGGTGTTACATCCACATGTGCACTGCTTTATCCTCTTAACTTTTATTGAGTATTTACGTGTCCTGGGCTCTGAGCTAGCTCGTATATGTGTTTTGTTCAATCCTTATATTAACCTAACAAGTTGGGTATTACTAGATCTCCTATTCACATGAAGAAACAGGCTCAGAGGAGTTAAGAAACTCTCCCAAGTCTTCTCGCTAATGAATGGGGGAGTTGAGCATTTGACCTGTCTCCAAAATCAGTGTTTTCCCACTGCTCTGTATGCATGTGTCTCAAACCTTTAGTGCCAGCCTCCTTAGTGGAAATGCCCACACATACTAAACTCACAGTAACTCCCCGAAGCAGATGGGTGGGCTTTGCCCACCCTGGCTTGGTCTTGCCTGCCCTGCTTGTCCAGTTGACCACGTGGGAACTTTTTCTTGGTGACTGTTAGCTCTTAGCACTGTCCCCATGCCCTTTCTCTCTGCCCTTCACCTTCTTCTGCCTTTGGCCCTTGGAGTGAGTTCATTGGAGCTCCTTGAGCTGTCTATGAAGCTGGGACTGTGGTCTGGGGGCAAAGCAGGGTGCTGACCTTGGACTTGAGCTCATTCCTCTCTCCATGGGGTGCTGCTATTTTTTTGTTTTGTTTTGTTTTGTTTTTTGAGACGGAGTCTCGCTCTGTCGCTCAGGCTGGAGTGCAGTGGTGCGATTTTGGCTCACTGCAGGCTCCACCTCCCGGGTTCACGCCATTCTCCTGCCTCAGCCTCCTGAGTAGCTGGGACTACAGGCACCCACCACCACGCCCGGCTAATTTTTGTATTTTTAGTACAGACAGGGTTTCACTGTGTTAGCCAGGATGGTCTCGATCTCCTGACCTCGTGATCTGCCCGCCTCGGCCTCCCAAAGTGCTGGGATTACAGGCGTGAGCCACTGCGCCCGGCGGGGGTGCTGCTATTTTTATAAAGAAGTGAACACTGGATATGGAGCTGGGCTGACCCGATTCTTGCCACTTGTAGTTTGACTTTGGCCAGGTCACCTAGCCCCTCTCTATGCTCATTTCCTTCTCTGTAATAAACCGGGAGTTGAGGGTGTTTGCAAGTCCTTATGTCTTAACACCTTATCATTTTGTCTTCCTCACCTTTCTTTCAGCCTCTTTTCCTCTAGTGATCCAATCTCTCTTCTCTCATTTCCATCTCCACCCACCCCCCTCCCCCGCCACCTGCTTTCTCTTCTCTCATTTCCATCTCCACCCACCCCTCTCCCCTGCCACCCGCTTTTCTTGCCTCGGCAAGATGCAGCATCAGGCTGATAATCACACAGGCTAGTACTGTAAACTCTCCTTCCTACTGGCACGTGGGAAAGGAATTCTTACAGACCACCCACTGCCAGTCCGTGTGTTCTGATGGGCTCACAGGGCTCTGATTTGCCTTCATGTCCCCACTTCCTGCCATGCACAAGGCAGATATGGGTGGGTTGAACAGGGGAGCTGGGGAAATTGTCCTGGGTGGGGTGTGGACAGGGCAGCAGCTTAGAGGCTGTGGGATGGAGGGACAGGTGTCTTTCTCCTGTAGTTGGCTGCACCCTACCTCCTTCTCAATGCCCCGCCTATAGAGTGAATCACAGGCCAGCACACCCCTGAGTCCTCACACCTCCCTAGATGCTGGCTCAGGCCTGGTCCCCATGTCTGGTGAGGTCACACATGTTGATCCTCCCCGAAAACCAGTAGGACCCAGCTGCCCCCACCCTCTGACTGGCAGACCAGCCTGTGCAAAGGCCAAGCTGGATGTGGCCTGAGCTCTCGGCCCTGCAAGAGGAGGTGAGTGGCCTGGGGCCCTCCCTGCAGGCTTCCTGGCAGCCTGGGTCCTGGGGGAGAAGGATGCTAGAGGGGGATGCCTGGGTGGGCCCCTGGCTGACAGGCAGGCACTTCATGGCACTGCATCTTCCCCAGGCTCAGGTCCTTTTGTGAGCAGCAGACCAGCCTGGGGGCTGGCGGCAGGACACCTGTGTCTGCATGCTGAAGAAGATGGGTGAGGCTGTGGCCAGAGTAGCAAGGAAGGTCAACGAGACGGTGGAGAGCGGCTCTGACACTCTGGGTGAGTGAGGGCAGGGCTTTTCCCAACTTCCCTGGAAGCAGTTGTGAGATCAACTTAGAAATGAAACAGAGATGAAAGACACAAGTATCAGTGCGCAACCTCATCCTGAGAATAAGTGTTTTGTAGAACTTTCATTGCAACAGTGTGTAGTTTGTGTAAGACATTTCTTACTGTGGGTCCTGGTCAAAGAGGTTTGAAAACCACTGAGTGATGGGGCCTGCCTGCTTGTCTTTTGACTGCCAGTGACTGAGTGTGTGTACCCTTGGACTAGGTGAAAAAACAGAGCTGGTCCTGGCCAAGTAGCATCTGTGTGCCAGGCCCCGTGCTGGGCACCTCCTGAATGTTATCTTGTTGAATCTTCACAGGCTTCCTGGGGTGAATGAAGTCAGCTGGGCGTGGCAAGCCTCAGTCATCCCATGAAGAAAGGTGACGGCAAAATGGGTTTCTTTGAGGTTGCCCAGCTAGGAGACCCCTTTACACTCCACTATTTTTCTTGAATTGTGTCTTATATATTTTTTGCTTTGAATTGGCCAGGGCATTTTATTCCATCAATTACCCCAAGACTCCCAAGCATTTAGGCAAACCATCCCATTTAATTGAATTCAGCAGATATTTATTGACCGTCCACCAAGTGCAAGGGGCAGCAGGGGATACGGTGCAGTTTCCTGTGTGTGCGCCTGTGTGTGCGTGCACATGCCCGAGTGTGTTTGTGTGCGTGTGTGTGTGTGTGCATGTGTCTCACCCCTGGAATGCAGGCACCACTGTAGAGGCCTGGAGCACAGTCCTGCCTTGGGGATGATCTTGCAGATAGGCAGGCAGAATTGGAGTTAGGTACATGGAGAGGAATTTCACAGGCAGGTAGGGGTGTGTGTGTGTGTGTGTGTCTGTCTGTCTGTCTGTCTCACAAAGGAGTGCTTCCTTCCATGGTGGTTACTGCCTCAGCAAAGTCACAGAGACTGGAAAGGCAGTCAGAGGCAGAGAGAGGTGGTCCAGGAAGTGGAGAGACACTCAGCCTTCAAGATGAGCTTGATCACTGCCTCTTCCAGGAAGCCCTCCGCCTTACCTCATCCACTCTTTGCTCCCTTCCTCCTCTGTAGCACCCCTTCAGCATCTGTACAGCACAGGGACCCTGTGGTTGTTTGCTTCCCTCTGCCCTGCCCCAGAGCCCAGCTCAGTGTCAGGCACTTTGTAAACATGTGGAAGTGTTTGCTGAGCTTAGCTAAGGCGAGAGGCATTTCTTCTATCAGCAGATTCACTGAAGATTGTCATTGGTGTTGGAGGGAAGCCTTTGGAAGGAGCCTTAAGCTAGTGAGCTGATGACTGTGAGCCCTCATTGAAGGAATTCTAGAATCCTGTACTGGTCAGTAATATGGTTGTTTAAGGCTCTCTACCACTGAAACTGTGGTTCAGAGCTAGGCTTTGAGTCACATGGGCCTGGATTTGAATCCCTGCTCTGCCACCCACTCAACCTGGTACTGTAGCAGATTGCTTAACCTCTCAGATCCTCAGTTTCTTCATCTATAAAATGGGAATGGTAATTGTGCCTACCTCATCAGGGCAGTTAAGAGTAATTGGAATGTCTGTAAGGTGTTTGGCACATAGGGAGCTTGATAAATGGCAGTTATTATTTTTAATTTTTGTTCATTCCCAAAAGCTGGCGGTGGGACCTAAGCCCTTCCTTTCGCAAATGCACCTTCTACAGGTGTCATCCAGCCAGGTCTGTGCTGGGTGTGCTTCTTACTGCCTTCCAGTGGAGGATTCAGTGCAAATTGACAGATGTCTGTGGTGAGTAACCTACCCCTGCTTCAAAATGTCACAGGGGGCCAGGCATAGTGGCTCGTACCTGTAATCTCAGCACTTTGGGAGGCCGAAGCAGGTGGATCGCTTGGGGCCAGGAGTTCAAGACCAGCCTGGCCAACATACGAAAACATACTAAAAATTCAAAAAATTAGCCTGGTGTGGTGGTACACGCCTGTAATCCCAGCTACTTGGGAGGCTGAGGCAGGAGAATTGCCTGAACCCAGGAGGTGGAGGTTGCAGTCAGTCAAGATCTTGCCATTGCACCTCCAGCTTGGGTGATGGAGCTAGGCTCCATCTCAAAAAAAAAAAAAAAAAAAAAAAAGCGTCACAGGGGATAGGGACACAGCAGCTCCACTTCACTCAGATGTGGCAAGAGTGGAGAGGCCGCAGGGGAGGGAACACAATTCTTACCAGGGGCGTTGGGGAAGCTGCTTGGGGGTGGGTGCTGTTTGAGAGAGGATGTTTCAGGGGGCAGCGGTGAGGAAACAGGCACTCCAGGCAGTGGTGGGGGTGTGCCTGAGTTGGAGGAGAGACCCTGCCCAATTACCACAGCAGCATTGGGGCAGGTGTTGAGGGATGGTGCCTGGCAGGCGGAGAGCTTGGAAGGTCGTGTTGAGGACCCCCTGAACTTCAACCTCTGTGGACTGGAGATTGCAAGGTCAGGTGGCCAGGTGGGCATTTCTGTGAGCTGAAGAGTGGGCACCCTGCATCAGGTGAAATGTGCAGGGCGGCTAGGACAGGGCATGCTGCGACCAGCTCCCCTGCACTGCCGGGGGGCCATACCCACCAAGGAACCCAAGCAGTTCTCTGGCCACTCTACCAGACACTGCCATGCCTGGGATTGGAACCCTGACTGTCTGGCACCAGAGTCTGGGCCATGTCTCTACCATGCAGCCCTGGGGTGGGAGCAGGTTTTGGTGATTGCCAGGGTCATGACTGCTGTGAAGCTCTAGTCAAGTTGGGAGAGGCTTTAGCCATGGCGATCTTGCCTGAAGCTCAAGATTTTCATATGGAGGGGACTGGGTCTTTTGTTTTTTTTTGAGACAGAGTCTTGCTCTGTCACCCGGGCTGGAGTGCAGTGGTGCAAACTCGGCTCACTGCAAGCTCCGCCTCCCGGGTTCACGCCATTCTCCAGCCTCAGCCTCCCGAGTAGCTGGGACTACAGGCGCCGGCCACCACACCCGGCTAATTTTTTTTTTTGTATTTTTAGTAGAGACGGGGTTTCACCGTGTTAGCCAGGATGGTCTCGATCTCCTGACCTCGTGATCCACCTGCCTTAGCCTCCCAAAGTGCTGGGATTACAGGCATGAGCCACTGCGCCCGGCCAGGACTGGGTCTTAAAGTTGTGGCTGAATAACAGGGATCCTTTGTACCTGTGCAGTGGCCAGAGAAGCAGCAAAATTTCCAACCTGGCCATAGTGGGCACCTGTAATCCTGACCCTTAGGAAATGGAGCTGACCAGGCTCATATAATCTAAGGGGGCTGGGTCTAAGCAGTTAGCATGTATTGAATACCTGCTGTATACTGGTTGCTTGGGGGCACCCAGGAATGTGTGTAGTAGAGTCCTGGACCTGAGACCAGCCCACCACCCACAGGACAGTCTTCAGAGAGCAGTGACACAGGCTCCATGCTAAGGTGTGTCGGATGGAACACAGGTTGTCCTAGTTCAGAGGTGGGAGATATTGCTGGGTATTGAAGTAGTCTGGGAAGGCTTTCTGGAGGAGATGGTAATTGAATTGAATCATAAAGTAACTCCATATGATTCTCATGTAAAACTGCTAACAATCTGAAGCATCCTAAACATCCAGCACCAGAAAATTGCTTCAATAAATTTGGCTACAGCTATACAATGCTTTTTTTTTTTTTTTTTTTTTTGAGATGGAGTCATCTTGCTTGCCCAGGCTGGAGTGCCATGGCACAATCTTGGCTCACTGCAACCTCCCTCTCCCAGGTTCAAGTGATTCTCCTTCAGCCTCCCAAGTAACGGGGATTACAGGTGTGTGCCACCATGCCTGGCTAATTTTTTAATTTATTTTTTAGTGGAGATGGGGTTTTGCCATGTTGGCCAAGCTGGTCTTGAATACCTGACCTCAAGCTATCCACCCGCCTCAGCCTCCTAAGGTGCTGGGATTACAGGCGTGAGCCACCGCGCTCTGCCTATATAATGCTATTTACGTAGCCATCAACAATGGAGCATAATATTTCATTGTATGATTGAATAAAGACTGGCACATTCTCGGCCAGGTGCAGTGGCTCTGTAATCCCAGCACTTTGGGAGGCCAAGGCGGGCGGATCACGAGGTCAGGAGATTGAGACAGGTCACCGACGATCCTTGCGCTAACATGGGTAAAAAACCCATCAACCTAGACTAAAAATACAAAAAAATTAGCTGGGTGTGTGGCAGGCGCCTGTAGTCCCAGCTGCCTCGGGAGGCTGAGAGCAGGACGACATGTGGGACCCGGAGGCTGGAGCTTGCAGTGAGCCAAGATCATGCCACTGGACTCCAGACCTACGCCTAGGCGAACAGAGCGAAGACTACCGTACTCAAACCAAAAAAACAAAATGAGGGCTGTGCACATTCTCATTACTAAACGGTGAAATCCAGAAAAATCAGAATGAACCAACTTGTATTGATCGGGTGACAGATACACGAATGTGTTAAACTGTGCTATAATGTACAGGAAAGAAAGATGGAAGGAAATAATCACAATATGGCAAATGGAAGTTAGAATACTATTCATTTGCCGTTTTCTAAATATGTCTTTTTTTTTTTTTTTCTTTTATTTTGAGACGGGTCTCGCTCTGTCACCCAGGCTGGATGCAGTGCGCCGGATCCTCAAGCACTCACATGCACCAGCTCTGCCCTCGACCGAGTTTACGCCATATTCATCCTGCCTCAGCCCTCCCAAGCAGGACTGGGACTACAGGAACGCCCGCCACGTCAGCCCCGGCTATTATTTTGTATTTTTTAGGTAAGCAGTCGGAAGTTTCACCCGTGTTCACCAGGATGGTCTCGATCTCCTGACCTCGTGATCCACCCATCTCGGCCTCCCAAAGTGCTGGGATTACAGGCTTGAGCCACCGCGCCCGGCCGCATTTTCTAAATATTCTATAATGAATGTATTACTCTTAAAATTAGAGAACAGATTTTAGGGAAAGGGCTACCTGCCACTATGGAAATAACACACATCTCGACAACAGATGAGAGTTCAGGGGTAACTCATTCTCAAAGCCGAGGCCCCTGGGAGAGGCACAGGCTTCCCTGGCTTTTCCCTTCCTGCTGGGTTCCCTCCCGGGGTGGTGCTCCAGAGCCACAGGTGTTGCTGCAGAGTGGGAGATCGCCTGTAGAGACTGGGCTGGAAGAGCTCAGTTACAGGCTTGCTCTCACCTTGCTCAGGCAAGTAACCCTGGTAAGCACTTTGCACGCTCCTCCAGTGCTCCTGGGGCACCCCTGGTTAGAGCTGGAGCCAGGCCTGCTTCCTCCTGTAACTCGAGGCATAGATCCCAGCCTTTCTCACTCCACTCCAGGCTTCTCCATCCCTGGAGATGTGGGCTCCTTTCTGTTTGGCCCCTGGGAGGCCCTCAACTTGAGTTGAAGCTACTTTCCTCCCAGCCCTTCACCCCTCCTCAGCATCATCTTCTAGATGCTTCTAAGGAGCATGCAGAGTTGCAAACTGCCCCTTAGGTAGTCTCCCTCCCCTGAGCCAGGCTCTCTTTCCCTGCCCCTTTGCCATCTGGGCTTCCATGGGTCCTGGACCCCTGAGGGGCTTCAGTCTGACCCCACCCTTCCCTCCAGCCTGTGGTTGCGGGCCAGGCTTCCCTGCACCCTGCTCCTCTCCGGGTTTTAGGCTCCCAGTTCTGCTGTGTGCATGGGGGGCTGGCTTTTAAAGAATGATCGTGACGCAGAGGAGCAGGATTTGAAAAGGCCTGAGGCCCGAGACTCTACTACACACATCCCTGGGAGCCCCCAAGCACCTAGTACACAGCAGGTACTCAATACATGCTAACTGCTTGTATTTTTGGTAGAGACCCTGTCTCTACCAAAAATAAAACTTAAAAAATTAGCCAGGTGCAGTGGCACGCACCTGTAGTGTCAGGTACTTTGGGAGGCGGAGGCGAGAAGATTGCAAGAATCCTGGAGGTTGAGGCTGCAGTGAGCCATGATCGGGCCACTGCACTCCAGCCTGGGCAAGAAAAAGTTCTATTTTAAAAATCTGATATAATATACTCTGGTTTCTCTTCAGATCCAATGAATCTTTTGCTTCTTACTGGAAAAAAAAAAAAACCCGATTTAAGGGAATAATCTTATTTCTTTCTTATGCTCTATTTTTTATTTCTTTAATCATTTTAGAAATAAGATCTTGTTCTGTCACCCAAGCTGTAGTGCAGTGGCTCAATCATAGTTCCCTGCAGCCTTCAATTCCTGGGCTCAAGTGATCCTCCCACCTCAGCCTTCTGAGTAGTTGAGACTACAGGCACTTGCTACTACACCGACTAATTTTTAAAATCTTTTGTAGAGATGGGGTCTCACTATGTTGCCTAGGCTGGTCTCAAACTCCTGGCCTCATGCTATCCTCTTGTCCCAGCGTATACTTGTTTTAAATCTTTACTGCTTTTTCTTTTTTTTGAAACGGAGTCTCGCTCTGTCACCTAGGCTGGAGTGCAGTGGCGTGATCTCAGCTCACTGCAACCTCCACCTCCCGGGTTCAAGCAATTCTTCTGCCTCAACCTCCCAAGTAGCTGGGATTACAGGCGTGTGCCACCACACCTGGTTAGTTTTTAATTTTTGTACTTTTAGTAGAGACGGGGTTTCATCATTTTGGCCAGGCTGGTCTTGAACTCCCAGCGTCAAGTGATCCACCCGCCTCAACCCCCAAAGTGCTAGGATTACCGGCTTGAGCCACCATGCCCAGGCTGTTTTTTCTATAACAGGACATTCTTGAGGGTTTGAGTCTGTTGTTCCTGCTGACTCTTGCTCACAGTAG